TATATGTATGTATATATATATATATATGTATGTATAAATCTTCGCTAAAAAGCATACTTAAAATGAATTAATAAGGGCTTGAAGTTGATTGAAATGATCCCCATGATTCCTACGTAGAGTATGCTATTACTCGCTGATTAAATAAACAAAGGCTAATGCTGCTGCCGCTGTTGCTGCTGATGATGATCTGGCCACTGGCGACCTCCACGACGGATACTCCTTGTTTTGTTCTGATAATTCAAATAAGAACTTCTGAAGTTTCCCTAACCTACCTAGTTTCCAAAGGACATGGACATGTTTTAAAAAACACACTATGTTAAACAAAGCAACCTTCAGAACCTTAAAACCAGTGTAAAGTTCTTTATCCCAAACTTAGGTTGACCGTTACATTAATTGTTGATACATTGAATGCTTCTTGCAGGACCCATAAACTTACCTCGGAGATTGAACTCTGGTTTTTATTTTACTCGCTCTGATCCACCAACCATTGCTGCAATGGAAAAGGTTGTCAAGCATGCACTAAGTTCAACCCTGTCAGAGCAGCCTAGTTTCTATGATGTCTTGTGCGGGCAAGGTGGCATCAATCGTGTGGATGACAACCATTGTCTTGAACCTGGCACAAACCTGACCATCCACTTCCTTGACAGGAATCTATTTCCCAATGGGGCTTACAAGGGGCTGTGGGAGAAAATAAATGTGAGATCTTCCTGCCAGAAGCAGGGATGCATAATTCTTCATAACAATTGGATAAGTGGTAGAATGAGAAAACTAGAACGTCAATTGCACTCTGGCCTGTGGGAATATGATCCTGCTCAGAGAATGTGCTTGCAAACTTGGCATCATACCAATTTAACCAGTCATTTTTTTTAAATTGCACTTCTGTCTGTACAATTTCTAACTGAATCCATCCCTTAGATAAAAAGTTTAATGTGAATGGGATTGCTAGTTTTGGAAGAGTTTAACGAAATCAACTTGAAAAAAAAAAAAAAAAAAAACACTGCCAGAAGTGATGTGCTCTATTCCTACTCATTAATAGTCAGCTGCGTGCAGATTACCATTCTGAATTAATTGCTGTTTAGAAGATAGTGTTATACATGTCAGCAGAGGTTCGCATTTGTTAGTATAGACCGAAAAATAGAACTGAACCAGAATATTTGGTTGATTTGATTTGGTTAGTAAAGTTAGAGCTCAATAACTATTTGGATTATGGCTATTTCTTCGATTTGAAAAACACAAATAAATTGAACTATTGAATTATATTACACTTAAATTAAATCATCAATCATTTTGTTCACAAATTTGTTAATAATCTATTTGAACTGTTTGAACATACAATTTAATAAATTGGTTAAAAAATTGAACAGAATAAACAGAATTGTGTTGTGGTTCGGTTTTACATATTATTTAGTCTCGGTTCTATATATTATATGGTTTAGTTTAATTGGTTTAACAAATCTATTAACCAATCCAACCAAATCTGTCGAATGCATACCCTACTTGCTTATTATGCAGAGAGCAATTCTGCCGCCATAGTTGTTTGGCTGATTTACATACATATCACATAATTTCTATGCATTTATATATCTATTGCCTAAACATTTTATTTATATGCACAATAATCTTTGATTAAATACTTTTTATATATGTTTAAAAACATTATATGTTTTCATGCATATATTTAGATTTGATTAGAAAATTATTAGATAAAAGTCAAAATTGAGGTGTTAAATATGTAAATATATAAGAAACATGTGGTATTACTGTAAATCTTCGTTGTTCATATCTACAAGCATGCATGCATGATCCCTTGTGCCGTTGCATGACACGTTGAAGCTAGAAAAGAAGGCCTAATGTGAAAATGTTATTTTTGGCTCACGCGTTCTTTTCTGCACGTAAGTTTAATTTCGTGTTAATGCAATCATGGTAGTCTTTATTTGAAAAAAATATTGTATCAGGATTATGTGTCTAATAACTGGATATGTAGTTTTTTTGTATTACTTTTTTTAATGGAAGGGCATCTTAGGGTATGTTTGGGGCAGCTGCAACTTATTGGATAATCTGCTGATAAGTTGATTAAAACTAATCTACTGATAAGTTAGGTGCGGTAGCTATTACAAATTTTTACTTTTTTGGGAAAGCCAAACCGCAGCCAGAAAGCTCCCACCCTACCTAGACAGATGCGGTGTGAAAACGCTATTTTCAGCATTTTGAAAACGCATAAGCTGCCAAAACACAATTTACCCAAACAGGTCAGATGCGTTTTCAAAACGCCACCGCACCAAATAAGCTGCCTCAAACAGACCCTTAGTCTGTTGCTTGTCTTTCGTGTTTCTTATTAGTATATAGAAAACTAATGTGCATTTATTATTATTATTAATATTTTATGAGGCTGATGAATGCATTAAAAAAGGAAGCTTTTGTTATGGCCGGCCATCCTTTTTTCCTGTTAGATGTTTTTCTTTTTATTAGAAAAAATGTAGCAAGGAATAATATTTATGATGAAGGCTGTGCATCTCCTTCAATCAGCTATCACATTACGCTATGGTTATCTCTTCAACTCCATGGATTCTTTTTTCTTCCTTACTATATGACCAAAAGCGTCTACTCATACCAACAGTGGGCCGAATGACTCTTGATCCGTCAATCATCAGAAGTTAGCCAGACGAATCCATAAGTAGAGAACAAAATATTAATTTGGGATGACAAGTGATCGAAGAATGAGTAGGAGAGGTCGAGTATGAGAAACTAAATATAAGAACCACGAGAGGCAGAGAACCTCCTTGTTTAGCAAAGAAGTCAACTAGAAGGAGATCTCTCGAAGTCTACAATTTTAGTGGGAATATGACCATTAAAGACAAGTATATAATCTTAAGATCTATTAGTGATATAAGTCAAAATAAGTCATTTTATGGAAAACAATCTCTATAAATAGGGGGTATTATGTTTATAATGATTCCAAATCCTCAATTTGAACCACAAATTACAGATCCCAATTTCAGTCTTTTGCTCATCGGAACTAAGGAAAACCCCCTCTAATCTCCTTCATCCTGCTTATCTTTGTATTGTCTTGATTTAGCTTCTCAATCTCTCATCTCGATCTTCCTCTCTACCTCCCCCTCTCTTTTTTTTTTGGACACTTTATTCTTTGGGTGTGATTTAATGACAAATGTGAGTTCAATACCCTAAAAAATGTGGTTAGCATGTATTATGTGACGAGAAGATTAATGTATGGAGAAGAACCTAACCACCGAGAAGTAACAAGAATCATGAACTCTTCTAGAGATTTTGTAGCTCAATAGATCCATTAGCTCAAAGAATAGATGATGGAGATGATTTGAGAGGCTCTTGCTCATGTGATAGTGCTGCTACCTTAATCGACAACCCCTCCACGTTAAAGGAAAGAATCTGACATCAAATCTTGGAGAACTCCAAATGAAGAGGATGACTCATATTATCTTGAAAAGTTGGCCTCGACCCTGTTAGATTGCGATAGGCGGAGACATGTCGATGCTTCACGTCCCAGTCAAATGGAGAATGCCTTCTCCAGGGAGATCATTGAGGTTAAGGCTCTTGAGAGGTTCAAATTCCCATCTCTTGAATCCTATTGGGGACTTTTGACCTCACTTTTGTTGAGGTCTAGTCTTTCTTCCTTAGGAGCCTAGGGTCTAACCATATGACTTTCCTGTTAACTATTCCTAGAGGACTAGTGATTGTACACTCACCAATAGAAATTCTAAACTCTTCTTTGCTCATCTTGAAGTCCCACATGTTGGTTCTAACCTCTAAAACTTAATAGGTGGGATCGATATAGGGGAGCCCAAGAGGGGTCCCCATAGGACTATTTGGCCTTAGGGTTAACCCTGGGTGGTGCGGTCTGGGTCAGTCTTGTACACATACACTTGCACCTGCACTCACAACCTCAACCCCCAACCAAACATGTTTAGTTGATCCTCTACTCTATAGGAAACTCATGTGGATGGTCCCTTGAACCATTAGCCCTGGGCTAGGGTTTGGCTAAGACCAACACATGGAGGATCCAAAATGGAAGTTCCCTTGGTCTCATGGCTCAAATAGGGTGACCTCTTAATTAACATCCTCAATCAATCCCAATTTTGCCAAATTTCAATTTTGACCCTTCTTGACCTCAAACTTCACCAAATTATCAAATTGCTCATGAACCCTAAATTTTGCCAAAAATTCCCAAAATTACCCAAATTCTCAAAATCTCTTCAAAAATCATTTCAAACCTTTCCCAACCACTCAAATTAACTAAAATACCTCAAATTTTCCAAAATTCCCAAAATACCCTCAAAACCCTCAAAATTATCAAAACCAGGCCCCAAAAATTCTAAAAATTCCCTAAATCTCCAAAATCACTTCAAATGTCACCAAAATCAGTTTGAACCACTCCATCGAGCCAAATTTGACCAAATTGACCCATTTTGGCCAAAATCCCCAAATTTCCCTTAATAGCTCAGATTCCCCAAATCACTCCCAATTTCCATCAAATTGACTTCAATATCCCCCCAATTTCAATTCCAAACTCAAATTCATCATTCCCAATCCCAATTGAAACCAAATACAAGCTCAGTTGAACACAGATCCAAGCCCAATTGCAAGCCCAATCCAAAATCCCCAATTAGCCATACCCTTAAATTCCCCCAAATTGAATCCCGTGATCAAATCAATTTCCCCAAATTTGAATTTGAAATTCTTTATAATACCTTCACAAATCAATTTGAACAATCAATTGACTCAAATTTGAACTCAAAGCTTACCCAAATCCAACTTAAGCCAAAACCCTCATTTTTTGACCAAAAGAAAGACCCAAATCCACCAAATTGAACCTCATAACTCCAAAATTTCCACCCAATTGATATCCAAAACTCTTCATGACAATCTTTTAGACCAATTTGAAACATCAATTGAACCATGTCCTAACCCTAACCAAATCCAAACCCAAGTTTAACCCAAATGCCCAAAATTGATTATATAGCCAAGTTCGGTCAAATTGAACCCCAAAATCAATTCAAAATCGCTCAATTCCTTTTCCAAACTCCTCATGACAATGTTCCAATCCAAATTGATCAATCACTTGACCCAAATCCTAGCCTAAACCCGACTTAGACTCAAGTTGACCCAAAACCCAAACTTTGAACCCAAGTCATACACTTGACCAAATCAAGCCAAATTGATCAACCCAAGCCCACCACAACCAACATTTAGACCATAAAAACTAGCCTATATCCACCTACCCCAACCTAGTTGAGCCATGGACCAAGGGTCCCCTAAATTAGGGGATCTCCTTCCAAAATTGGCTAAACCAAGAGAGATATGCCATCAGTCATCAAACCTCTAAGCTAATCACCATTAAACCTTTCCTTGGATCTTCTGAGCCAACTGACACCTTCCCTGGCATGGCCGGTCGGCCTAGTCATCGGTGAGCCTCAAAACCGAGAGCCACCCAACTTTAAATCAAACCCATTGCACCCATCCAATGTGTCTAACTTCAATTGGTCCTTGGCGCCGCTCAACCCTCCACATCAGCAAGCCTTTGCACTTGAATTGAAGCCCAACCAGCCACCTCAAGCTCCTCTATTTAAACACCACCCTCTTACGACCAAAGATAGAGTGTGCTTAAATCCTTGGAGAGACTCTGCCGAAATCTTTCCAGAGCCTCTTCAAGCGTTCCTAAGCTTAACCCAACCATTTTCCAGTCACCTCAACCACTGCCTGAGCCCAATTCATCACTAGAAAACTAGGGTAGATTCTGCCCATCTCCGAAACTCCACTAAACCCTAAATTGAAGTGTCCTTAAGCTTCACCAGAGCTTAAGGAGAAGTTTCCCACTTAAATCCCTCTCTATTGAGCCCTCTAACCCACTTTTTGACCAAGACCGCACCCCCATTTCATTGAACTCATACATGGAGCATCCACCATAGGAAAGTGACACTTCCAGAAGGTTCCCCAAAATCTACTAAAGCTTCCACAATCATCTGATTGAGACCTCCCCTCTCAGACTCAGGTATAAAGCCTAAACCCGAAATTTTGGCTAGGTTTGGGATTTTATGAAGAAAACTTTAATTTTATACATATGT